AGAGAGAGAGAGAGTTGAGCTAGAAGGCTCTTTATTGGTAGCTTTCTGTCATGAAATTATATTTGCTATGATTTTATGCACTAGATTTGTTTATTGTTCCTTTGGTTTTTACTCTATGCATTTGCTAAAAATGATAGTTCGGTGCATAAGACTCATATCATTAAGAGTACAAAATTGATTTTGGTTGGGTGGTTTGAGAGCTGTAACATCTTTTGAAGTGTTTTGTTTCATATGCATAATTTGTGCAACATTTATACACTGTTACATCAATATCAACTTTTTATTCATACGAGTGTGTAGCTATATATATTATTTCCAATCATAAATTCACATAAGAATGTATTAACTAGTGCATGCCGTGAATTCATATAACTGCTGCTAGTGGAATCAAGTCATATCCTCTTTTATTGTAGTTTAACTTTTTCTGGATGATGGCAATTCATGTGTTAATCATGGAGCTCCATTTTTTTTAAGCCACTTATGGAAACTTGTCAATGAAGACTAATAATTTTCAGGCAAATTAGAAATTACAAATGACATTTTGCATTACTGAAGGTGACTAGACTTTTCTATGCTTTTGTAAGTTTAGGCAACAAGGATTCCCGTGGTTACCTTGTGTCCACTCGGAGTGGACACCTGTCGCTCACTTCTTTTAGCCTATTATGACACTTTAGAATCTTATTTGCTGCAGCAAGTGCCTTTTTTTTCTCTTTGCTAATTTTGCAAAATAAGGTTCTAAACTATGTTTCAAGGTATGCTTTGCCGTGTTGTGTGCTTAAAACATCAATAATATGCTATTGTAACTAAACAAAGGTCATGGCCACTTGAGCTGTCACTTAGAATCTCTTGGCCAAATTTCATGTCTATCTTGCAGCCACTATATTAAATCACTTTCCTGCAAATAAAGCTTCCCTTCCATAAATACCAATCATTCAAGTCTTTTACTTTTGCAAACTAACTTGGGACTGTAGCAGTTGTTTCCTTGTGTTTTCTACTGGTTTCTCTACATCAATTCACCGGAGTAAAGGTTCTGCCCTTTTAAACTGAAATGATGGTCGACGATGTTGGTTTGAAGGTATTGTATCTATGGGTGACTGCTTATATTTTCACCTTCTTGCTTTTCATAAGGAAATTGCAGAATCCTTGGTTTTAGCTTTTTGTTTATGTTGAGTTATCGGAATATGCAGATACAGCATAAGGAAAGTTGGTGAAGTACACATAAAACCAACGAGTAATAAATGTGTATATTTGGGACATACACAGGACCAGTTGTTTCCTTGTATATTTCACTCATTACATGAAGTCACCGGATTAAAGTTTTTGTCATTCTAAATTGAAACGAAGGTTAGCAAACGTTGTTTTGAAGGTATAGTATCTATTGGCTGACACTGCTTATATTTCTGCTATCCTGCTCTTGATAAGATAATTTGCAGAATCCTTAGTTTTAGCTACTTATTTGTGTTGTGGTTCTTGGAAATGCAGATGCAACACGAGGAAATTTGGTGAACTCCACCTAAGACCATCAAGTACTAAATGTGTAAATTTGGCTGGAATTATTTTCAAACCAGTGGTCAAGAGGAAGAATTAAACTGGCCGAGCCTCTTCAAGACACAGTTCACAAGAGGTTGGAAAACTCAAACTGCTATCTTAGTCATGACATAGCAGATGATCTCGGCAGTAAATAATAACTAGTATTTACATTGCACTCAAATCTTTCTTTGCTCTTCTTAAGCGACGACAATGAAGGGAAGAGAAAAGGAGAAGAAAGCTAGCATCGCCCAAAAGAAAAAAAGCTAAGACGAGGAGAACTGGAAGTTGGACCTGATGTTTGAATGACTACAGGTGAAGAGTGGTGTCCACATCTGGTTCGTTGCCAGACACCGGGCGGTGTGAAGTCGTCTGATTGGGCCACAAGCCCATTGACAGTGAGATCTCGAGGGCCTGCAAGTCTGTGTGATCACCATGGTCGTCGAGCCAACACGATGGTGGAGGACCACGGATAGGCCTGGATGGACGAACTAGATCGGGATGGACGAACCACACGGGTTGGGCACACTGAGCATTCGAGTTTGGCCTCTCCCCATGAGAGAATGCCCGCTGCTGTTCCCTTTCTTCTCTCATTTCTTTGAGTCTCTGCAGCTGTCTGAATCTCTCCTGCAACAGAGCAATGGAGGTCGGCTTGTTGTTCTGCCTCCCCATGAGTCGGTAGTGGACTCGGAATGCCAATTCGGAGCAGGTGGAGCTGAGGGAGGCTGAGGTCTACAGGTGAGTTTTGCTTGCTGGTTTGAGTGTGGCCATGTGTATTATTTATAGCAGACGGGTGCATGCTGTGCCTGTGCATTTATTCCATATGATGATGCTGTGCCCTCAGATTGATCCTACATGATGTGCAGGGGAGAGGAGAATCCAGAGAGGGGATGCAAAGTCCAAGAAGGAAAGGGTTTGTGGGCTATCTAAGGAGTTAGGATGGTGGAGGACGCGAGCAGGACCAGAGCCACTTTTCAAAGGCACATAAAAGCGGGAGAGCAGTCCAAGGATGCATGGAGGTTAGCATTTGGATGCGAGCTTGCAGAGAATATAAGGTTATCGTGATGGATTGTCCTCCTATCATACCTTTTTTTTTCTTCTTTCTTGAGCCTAAGAAAGAGAGATTCCAACTCTTGTATGGTTTGCCCTCCTCCTCCTCCTCCTCCTCTCAGCAGATCAATGTGGCTGCTGGACCCAGGATCCAGAATTGAAGTCAGTCGAAGCCATGAATAAAGGACTGGACCCTGGTTGAAAAGCTAGCACAACGTTGCTGTTGTGCATCAGGTTCTTTGTAGTGCATGCTTAGTCCTGGGAATCTGAACCCATAGCAGATCCAATGAGAAAAAGAAAAGTTCCAACTGATGCCATGAAAGGTAATTTTATGAGTGCCAGATGAACCGGGGCCACGATCGGCTGCACACATATGGTTGTTGTTCTCCTCTGCCCGATTCCTCCATTTCGAGTTCATCCCAGGGTTCATGCGGATGGTGCCACTACTTGCTGCAAGCTCAAACTTGCAGCTGCAGGAGGAGGGTGGTTTGAATTTGGTAATGATATGGAAATCAATCAGCATCACCAGGCCTGCTCTGCACTGCACTGCATGCACTGCACTGCAAGAGGGTTTCTTCATGCATCTCCGTGACTGCTAATCCATTCAATGTATATCACCAAATCAATACTCTGGTTTGTTGTTTTCAATGAATTTGAGTTGCTAGACTTAGCAGAGTCTGATTGCTGATGGGGACAAAATTAGAGGTTGGAAGGGAATGATTATTGGGGTTGATGAATTCCTTCTGGTGGGGTACAAAGGCAGGAGGCATGCTGCTTCACTATTTGTGCAGTCTCTCACATCTCCCACTCCCCTTTTGTCTTGGAGTTGCTTGGAAGGGATTGCATGCTATGCTGGTGACTGATGACACACTTGATGCTGCTGTGGTATTTTTGTCATGCTTTTCTTCTTAGGCTCCCCCTCCCCCTCCTCCTCCTCCTCCCTTATCCCCACCTTACTTTGTTGTCTTGTGGGTTGGCCTTCCCATGGTCCTGAGGTTGCATCATAGCAATCAAGACCCTATGTGAAGACCATCCAAGAGAGTACTACTATCATGATGTGTTGAGCATAACCAAACATCGCTTAAAGATACCAGTGATATGGAGTTTTGTGATGATGCACAAAGGAGAGGGAGGATGTTGACAAAATAGTAAGAAACAAAGCACATAAATATCAACAGAGTGCTGCCATTCGAGGTGGATTACATCGCCACTTGAGATGGGGTTTGATAACACGATTGACGAGTGGAGCCTACACCCAAACTTTCAAAGGTAATGAACCCACCCCACTTCAAAAAGTTTGTGAGCACATCCGAAATCCGCATTTGATTATTTAGTTGAATGTTACATAAAGTGATATATCTAATTTCAGATTTTGTTTTCTTATTTTTTAAGTCTATGAGTGTGTGTTATATATATATATATATATATATTAGCTAATAGCTTCTAAAAATTTACATGAGTCACATAGAGGAGTAACATATTAATGCTTCTTTAACTTTTAGGAACACTATCAAGTTTTTTCTCCCTCAGAAAAGAAGAATTAGTTAGTGAAACATTCAAAGGAATTGCACTTCACCCTTCTTTCGTTATCACATATCTCAAATTCATGGCAATCATTAGGTTCTGCCTCATCATCAAACATGTAGTTGACTGCAATACTATCAGACCCCCCAACAGCTAAGCTGAGGTAAATACTCATCAATTTGAATTTTCTTAGTAAATCACCCTTCAATATAGTATTTTTTTGTACCATTTAAGGTCTGTCTTAATTGACATGGCAATCTGCATGACAACATTCATTCTTTCCTTCCATATCACGACGCATGATTGCATACATGGACCACAAAATAAAAATATCATGCCGCAACAAGGTTACAATGTGGTCCATTTCATTGACAATTGAGATTGTAACACCATCAGTGGTACCAAGAACTCTATGACTGATGCAATGGTGTGGAACTTGTACTTTATCTTTGTGGATATATCATAGTGAAAGCAACAGAAGTGGATCTTTTGTATAACTATATTTACTCCCACGCTGAGTTTTATCACACAGGAATCTATAGACTGACCAACAAAAAACACCAGCAAACAGTTAAGCACGTAAATACTCATATAATAACGACAAGTACGGACAAACCCTAGACCTAAAACTCTTCATCCCTTACGACAACATGATTAGATAGGGAAGAAACGCTTCGTCCGAGAACTTACGGTTCCAGCTTCAAGGAGACAACCCGGGACTGTCTGTTGCGCTTTGCCACTCGAACAAACACCACTGATAGGCACGACGGAGCCCACCATGGCTTACGGACCTCCTGTTCCCCTTTCAGGCATGCAACTGCATTTACAAAGAAGGAACATGTCATTCATTAACGATGGTCATGTTTTAAATTTAGGAGGATTTATAGAGAGTCGGTGGTTAGGACTCAAGTTATGGTCATATCACTTGTGATGGTAACTCTTTGCATACCCAACTAATAAATCTAACTGGTCCACAACAAAACACTCGTCTTCAAGGATGAAATTGTCTTGAAACTTCATCTAGTTTATCGATCTCATAATATCACTATTTCATATAACCATCTTTGTATAGAAAAAGACAAGTACATTGAGGGCATATGCTCATCATTCACAAATTCCACAAAGAAGTCAACTTGTATTTGAAGAACACGATGATTGAAGTAGATTGAGTAGAGCATAATACTAGCCTAATTTTGCTACCCTCTTTAAGAAGAAACCATATATGGACATTCATCATGTAAAAAAAAAATGCCCTGATCAGTCATCTGGTCGATGAGGATGGCATGTGCATGATGATCCTCATAATTCCTTAGAGAGTAGTAATTTCATGTAGGGTTTGTACCATCATGGTGTACCTCCTATGTGGTCACACGTACTAGTTTGATCATGGACAAGGAGGCAAACCACTTGCACACGGTTGTACACACCATCTGTATCATGAAAGGTACTGCTCGGGTTTAGGTGGCTATGGGTTAATCAGACCAGCTCAGGGGATGAACGCTAAATGCCTGTTTCCCAATAGTTATCAATTACAGAATATTCATTCTTATCTATTCTGGTATAGAGTGCTAGTGCAAGCAGAAAAGCCTCAGGATGCAAGATATAAAAAATGGTTACAAATTGATTTCTTGAAGATGGTGCTTTTTAGACAATGAACGATATTCACAGAAATGACAATTCTATATGAATTTGAACGTCTTACTGAATAAGAAAATTCTATGCAGATTGAACAATTATGAGAACTTAATTTATATTGGCTTTGGTTATGACATTTCTTGCTTTTGTAAGGACTGTTTGATAAACGATTATATTCACCAGTAAAAGCTTAAAGACAAGCCAATATGTGGATGAGATGAATCTTGAAGCTTTAATAAACCAGTTAAGTGAGCATCAGTCAAGCGGGTATTTGATAGTTCAAAACTCATTAACATAATAGGGGAAGGAATAGAACCTTTTATGCGTCTTAGCTCCTTGCAAAGTGTAATAAAGTCACCCCACTTCATGTGGCACCGCCTTATAAAGCGCAGAATTTGCTCTGTTGTAAACATTGATAGACTTTCTAAATACTCCCCATTGACACCGTTTTCCTCGAAAACTTGGCGGTAACTCCCAAGATTTATCTCTTCCAGCCACAAACCAACATCCTGAGATCATATACTTGGTATCAAGTGAAATAAACATATATAATGGCTCAACTTCTACTCATTAAATATTTATTCTCAGCAATTTTACTATTATTACCAAAGTTCAACAAGCAGACTTCTATGTATACACACTCGCAAGGGAGTGTTTTAACACAAACAGTTCAAAGGGAACTACTGGATTTCTGTGCATGTGGTAAAACCATAATCGTACATTTAAATCAATTGCCTGGAACCAGGAATGTGCAATTATCGGAATTCATGACCACATAAAAATAACAGTTTAAATGAAGATGTAATCCTGGGGGCACAATAATGGGAAAAGGAAAGACCAGATACATCACAAGTAGCACTGTTTTCTCATACATTAGTCAACTTCAGAGAATTTTTCCTAGAGAAATAATATAAGATTTTTATTCGGGATTAAGTAGCAAGGGAGCATTAAGAAGCAGGGTATTGAATAAAACAAAATCTCCTTGCTTAATCTCAAAATTCAGATGTGCAAAACATGGCAAGGTATCAGCTTATTTCAAGGATTTAACTCTCGGAATGCTTCTCCTGTATCAGGTGAAAAGAGGGTATTGATTTTCTTTCAAGGATTTGTCTAAACCAATTTTAGGTCATGTTTCAGACTAAATTGGCTAATTCAGTTCAGAGACTAACTGAACCCAGAACAGATCTTCAACAAAATGCACTGACTTGCCCCCCTCTTGATCTTTTTAGGCTTCTTTCAGTTTAACAGCAATCACATCTTTCTTGCCAAGCGGAAGTAGGTGGTGGCAAGGGAGAGTGAGTCAGTGGTTGATCGGTGACTCAGTCAATTTATCCAGTGCTTCCACCACTCATACAGGATCCAGTTCTCTCCTTCATACCCTTGCTCTGCTCCCTCATTTTGTTTTAGTGGCTTTCATTCTGTCGCCCAGTTAAGCATGTCAGATTACTGACTCATGATAGTATGATATATCATGCCATTTGCCAGACAAAACAGGGGATGCCAAGGTACTTGGAACATCTTTTTGATGGATACTCAGAAAATCCACTGGTCCAGCCAATGTAGCAGAACCTTATAAATAAGAAAGGATGCAAATTTCGTGCAAAATTTTTGGGGAATTTTCATCTATGTATTTGACTTGAAGACTATTTCCCTCCAAACAGCCACCATGTCCAATGATTCTAACAGGTATAGGATTTCTTGTATCAAATACGTAAAGAATAATATGAAGAAAATTCAAGAGAGCTGATTCTAGGTCATTCCACCAAATACCACATGCTCAGAAGCATATTAAGGTATGCCAAATATTTAGTTTTCACGGGCCTTATGTGATGCACTTGTATGACTGCATATACATATGCAGCGGAATAGACTCCTTTTCTAAGCTATAAATACTCTAAATAGCACATCCAACTTTTTTTATTTTATGGGATATGAGAGGTTTGCCAAAGCTAGGCAGTACACAACCAAAATGCCATAAGCCCTGGCCTCCAAAACATTTGCTCCTTAAAGCAGCCAGAATCACCAACTGGAATATCTCAGAAACCGTAAAATAATATTGAAACTAACTTGATTGCCAATGGTTGCATGAAACTTGCGATTGAGATATCATATCACCACCATTCCATTAAAACCACCTCATAAATAGTTTGAAGAAAAAATAAACTAAGAATACCTTCTTTCTACAGCTATGAAAGAATAAACTCCAAGAATCTCTCATTCCCAACCTCTAACAGTCTTAAGTAATTTTCATCATACAGATATTACATCGTAAACTTAGTCTGCCACGTTGATAAAAGGAGGTATAAATAAATGTTTAATCACCCATACACCTCTTTTATAACATGACTAACAGGTGCTAGTAGAACCATTTTCACTTGCATTAGGACTAAAAGTTGGACTAGCATTGATATAGTCTAGTTTGTCACCGGTATCTTACAAATTACCTTCTCAAATAAAAGAGAAAATGGAACAGAACAACATGGATATTGATCTATGTAATTTGGGTG